TTTTAAGTCAGCCGTAACGATCGACTGAGTTATGTTCATAACTCAGCTTATTTCTCATAAGTCAGCTAGGTTAGTTAAGTCAGCCGCTACGCACCTATATCTCGGCCGTAACGTAGTTCGTATCCTATTGCGGCTGAGTTTTATGCCGCATTCTTACGTGGACCCAAACTTTTTGCTTACGTGGCATAAAAAAGTAATGACATTCTTGTAAATATGTTTTTCCTCACAACATGAAAAAAGGGCATGCTGGGTATTAAAAAAAAGGTAGTAATAAAAAAAAGTTTTGTATGGTTGTGATAATAATTAATAAAATTCATATTAGTTGAGTTAACTTCCCTATTAGAAATGTAACTCCCACTAGCACTCCGGAGACATAACCAGTTGTTTGTTTCAACAAAAATATACAACCAATATTACCGTTGAGAGGCCACGAATGTTACTATCGAGCCGATGACATATTTTTTGTCGGTAGTAAACCTTTATAGACACTCACACCTGTGATCACCCCCAATTTCCCATTTTACCCCTGACTTCTTCTAACTTTTACATTTTCGCCCCATATATCCTCGGAAATTTCGCAGACTACGATGTCTTTCACTCTACACTTCTTCGTCTCCATCCGGTTCACTCTAATTTCCAAGTTTTGTTGTTACGTTCTTGGGTTCGCTTTGTGGGTTCTTCTTTGGATGATCTGAAAAGTTTCAATATTTGCGATGAAATCGTCAACTCGGCTTGATTCAGTTGTGTTTCAGCTCACTCCCACTCGAACCCGGTAATATAATCTCTCTCTCTCTTTAATTGTAATTGATCTAAAAATGTTTAGTTAAGAACATAATTTGCTTTTGTGAGAATATTGCTTTGTAAAAGTCGAAAGGTTGCATTTTTCTGGGTTTCTCGATAAAGAACAAAAGCCTTTGAATGGTGATGGATTCATACTGTTTATTGAAGTTTTTTGTTAGAAACTGTAACGAAGTTACTGCATGGAAGTCGAAAGACTGCATTTTTTTTGGTTCTTTCTTTCATACGATCAAAAGTCTCTTTTCTTTTTTGTTTGTTTGTGGGCTGTAACAAAGTGACTAGAAAGTCGCTAACATTTGTCACAAAAATGATTCAGGTGTGATCTGTTGATAACAGCTAATGGAAAGACTGAGAAGATAACTACAGGGTTGTTTGATCCTTTTCTTGCTCACTTGAAGACTGCACAGGATCAAGTTGCTAAAGGTGGCTACTCCATTGTTCTCACGCCTGAGGATAGTGAGAGTGCAGCTTGGTTCACTAAAGCAACTATTCAAAGGTGTAATATCAAATAAATCTTCCTTAAAATGGATTGCCCACTGAGACACCTCTTCTTCTTTGTTGTTCTTAGGTTTGTTCGATTTGTGAGCAATCCGGATGTCCTAGAACGTGTTTACACTTTAGAAACTGAGATCATGCAGATCAGGGAAGCAGTTAGTATCCAGAACAACTGTGAAGTGGCTTTAACTGTTGTAAGTAAACTTTGACTTCTTTTTTTTTTTTTAATACTTTGTTTGGTGAATTGTCAATCTTAACGTTAGATTGTATAAGTAGGCGGAAGAAAATCTACGAACAAAAAGAGCAGAGAGTACACAAGGTATGCTACAATGATGCCCACATTTCTTAAATGCTAGTCACTAAGATTACAGTTCAACCAATATTTTGAGTATGTGAATCAGGTAGCGGGCCATTGCTGCAGCTCAACGAGGAGAAAACTATTGTCCTTTATGAGGTTACTTAGAATCGGAATGGTTTTCGTCTCATCTTTTTTCTTTCTTTCTTTGGAGAAAACAATTAATTCCATCCTTTTTCATCGTTGACAGCCAGATACACATCCAAAGCAAGCAAATCTGTCTACCACATCAGATGAAAACTCTAAGTAATACCCCTTTGCATGAATTATATTTCTTTTCTATTTGTTTAAGAAAGATAGTAGTGAACTATCTGATTGGTAATGTGGAATCGTTTATCAGAGTTCAAGCTCTGAAATTTCTGGAGACAAGGAAGATGGTGTTGCAGAAAGAACAAGGAATGGCATTTGCACGTGCCGTGGCAGCTGGTTTCCAAGTTGATGATATCCTGCCTCTTATATCTTTTGCTAAATCCTTTGGAGCCTCACGTTTGATGTGAATAGTTTTTTTTTTTTTTTTTTTCTTCGAGTTTGAAAGAATTAACCTTAGTAATGTCATGTTTTGCTCCATCAATGTCATAGGGATGCCTGCTTAAAATTCATGGACTTGTGGAAGAAAAAGCATGAATCTGGTCAGTGGGTTGAAATCGAAGCAACACGAGTAATGGCAACACAGCCAAACATTTCTGCTAATATGCGTAGGAACTCATGGCCTAGGACAACTGAAAATAATGGTAAGATGATTCAGTAATTAGTTGTGAGCCATAATCGATGATTCACAGTCGATATTTATACCAATAATACTTCCTTCTATTCAGATGTGAAGTCTCATACAGATAATAAAGCAAATGTAAATCAAGAACATGTGCAAGGGAAGCATCCACAGCCAATGTATGCACCATGGCCAGTTCACTCTCCTCCGGGGACCTTTCCAGTATTTCAAGGATATACAACGCAGAGCATGCCTTACTACCCGAACTATCCATATCCTTCTCCCTATCCGTCTACGGATGATTCTAGGCGTAGTTCTGGCCAAAGAAATGCTAAGAAACATCATTCATCTTGTAGCGAGGACTCCGGATCAGAAGATCAGGACATAGAGAAAGGAAAATCAGGTAGGAGAAGGAAATCAGGTAAAGTAGTGATTCGGAACATAAACTACATTAAATCAAAGAAGCAAGATCTGTCAGGAATAGAATCTGATGCTGAAGAGGAGGCAATAGTAGAATGTTACAATACTAAAGAGAGAGAAACAAGAGGGACAGAGGCTGACACTGGGGATTGGCAGGCATTTCAAACTTTCTTATTGCAAGATGCTGAAACAGAAGAACGTACCGTTGACCATTTGATGGAGAAGGAAATTGCAGGGAAGAATAGGCAAGGTACAAGGAAGTATGATCCTTTGGCTTATGATGAGCGTGAAGCAGAAAGATATCAAGAAAGAGGTACAGCTGACATTCGGAATGGAGTTGTGACTCGTAGAGTCAGGAAATCTACTGACTCTTTTATGGTTCACCAGAGAGAAAATGGTTTTGAGAATCCTTCTGATCCTCTCAACTTGAATGGTTTTGATAATCCAAGGACTGGTTCGGATAAAAGATCATCAGTTAACATGGATGATGATTCATATATTGTTACTCGGGAAACTGAAAGCAATACTCGAAATGCTATAGACATTGGATCAGAGATCTCTTCGTACCAACAAGCTGATGGAAATGAAAGAAACAAGATCAATTACGAGCCTCATGATCTGACCCTGATCCCAGAAAGAGAAACAGTGAAGTTATCAGCTGGCTATGATCCTGCACTAGAATTTGGATCCAAAGCTTTAAAGAAAAAGAATAACCAGGGATCTGGAGTTACAAAGAAGTCAGTGAGAAATCCAACATCAAGACTTTCTAATGATGCTGCAGATAAGAGGAAGGCTTCAGGGCTAATACGGAAGGGAAGACCCACAAAGATGAGTCCTTTAGATGAAGCAAGAGCACGAGCTGATAAGCTTAGAAATTTCAAAGCTGATCTTCTGATCATGAAAAAGGAAAAGGTAAAACTTCTACTTAAAACAATTTGATGAGATAATTGCTTTTTATTAGTTATATAAAAGCATAATCTCCTATTGCATAAAGCCGACTTGTGTCTAAAACTTTGCATCACACATTCTTATTACCATCCTTTTGTTGTTTTAGGAAGAAGAAGAGAGGAAACGCATCGAAGCTCTGAAAGTAGCAAGACAAAAGAGGATTGCTGCTAAAAGCAATTCAACGGTAGACCAGTCACAGTTATCTGCACAAAAAACAAGAAAAAATATGCCAAACAGATTTTCTCCTGGCGCTCCTAGAACATCTAAGTTTAGTGACCAAGAACCAGGATCATTATCACCTCTTCAACGCCGTCTTCCCATAAGAAGTGCTTCTTTAGGCTCCAATGAATCTCAGAAAGTTCTCCAGAATAGTAAACTGAGTTCCGGAAGTAAATCAACAGGTAACGGGCTAACAAGATCAATATCACCGCTACCTCCATCTAAGAGAGAAACTAGAATCAGTCTTGGTACTCAGAACCTGTCAGTTTCAAGGACAAGACGAGTATCAGAACCCAAAATGGGTAGTGCACCAAGTTCTGCAGTGAGGTCTTTGCACACGACAGGAAGTAGGCTAACAAGGTCGATATCACCATTACCTCTATCTAAGAGGGAAACCAGAGTTAGTCTTGATAGTCAGAATAAGTCAGTTTCAAGGACAAGACGATTATCAGAACCAAAAATGGGTAACAATAGTGCACCAAGTTCTGCAGTGAGGTCGCTGCGAACAATAGCATCCAAAAAAGTATCTGATACTCCGGAGATTAAGAAAATATCGGCCATTGTTAACTATGATATAGCAAAAATCGCATCTCTTCCAGAACTGAAGATAAAACCACCAAAAGGTCCTAACAATGTTCTAGTGAAAGGGGTAGAGAAAATTAAAGCTTCAGCGTCTGAGATTGAACAAAGTGGAAACAAGAACAAACCCTTGTGCGATGAAACTCCAGTGATTGAGAAGACAGTGGTGATGGTGTTACCAAGTTCAGCTCGAAGTATAAGTGCAGATCAGACGAATGAGTCAAAGGTAGTCCCTGGAAACTCAAACATCCATGACTGTAGTCCTTCTGAAGGAGCTGATAAGAAAGGCATTGAAACAACGCAGGATAGTGGCAATGATCTGGTCTTAGTAAGTACTCCTATTCCAGCCAGATCGATTTGATGTTTTGTTTACACGGTTTTCATGACCGTCATGTGTTTTTTCTTTTGCTTTCAGGTTAGACCGGAAACTCTGAGTGACTTAATAACAGAAACACCAAAGTTTCTGACAATTCAAAGTGTTGTGGAGAAACCATATGAAGCTCCACATGCTCGGGTTTCTTCGATAGAAGTTCCAGGTACAGTGTACTCAGAGTGTTCCCAAGAACCTGGACCAAGCTTTCATTTAAATGAGACAAGGCAAGAAACTGTCAAAGTTCTTGCACCAGAAGCGAAGATAAGTGAGGCCTTGGAGAAATCTCAAACAAAGGAGTCAGCAACAAAAGGGATCAGAAAACTGTTGAATTTTGGAAAAAAGAGTCGGTCTTCGTCTACAAGTGACTACCATACCAAGTCTAATAATGCTGTTGTCAGTAGCAACAAGGATCATGAACCAGCTACAACTGCTGCTGCGACAAGCGAAGGTACAAACATATATAGTTCTTTTGATGCTGAATATATTGTGTGGTTATATAACTCGGAGGGGTTAAAGTTTATGTTTTATTATCCAGCTTTTACACTAAAGAATCTCATATCTCAAGATGAAACACCTACAGCAGCACAGAAATGTATGAAATTTCGTTTAGAAACTATCTGATTTTGTAAAAGAAATTCTCCTTGGCCTTCTATGCTTTGGTCAGTAATCTATGCTGAGGTCTCATTTTCATTTTTCATCTTCTCAGCTTCTCGCCATTTTTCATTGCTCTCTCCCTTCAAGAACAAGAAGAAAGTATCATGAGGAAAGTGAATGAAACAGAGATCAATCTCCATTTACAGTCTTCAAATCTTGTAGTGACTGAGTATCTATATAGCATCCAGCGAGCCTCGTCTGAGTATTTCAGAACACTTGATTCCAAATGCAATGAGATGGATGCACTTGTCAACCGATAAATGTTAGGATTGTTCTATTCCATTTTTTATAAGAAAAAAAAGAGAATTTATTTTGGATTTTGATAATCCACATTTCTCATGTTATTACACCTATTAGATCATTATTTGGGAGTGTCTACGAATCTACACTTTCTAAAATGAACATAATTTGTATAGATCATGAGTTTTATATCAAATATGATACATACAACTCAAATTTTTTTTTTTTTTTTTTTCAGACAACGATTTTTTCCTTTTTAGCTCTCCATCGGAATATTTTTCCGATTTGCTTGTGTCCTTTTTTGGTGTTTTGGTTTTTTTGGGAAGTTATTTACCGGCACTAGTTTGCTACGGTATTTTCTCCTTTTGGTCAATTTAAACTTTAATAGTTTATTTTCTTTCCTTATTTAGTAATTTTGTTTCCATCTCTTCTTTCTTTTCTTTTCGCCCAAGTTTGCTCTTTCCTTTTTCGCGTGCTTTGAGAGAATATTTCAAGCAAATTGATATGATTTCCTTAAAAGTCATTTCGGAATATTGCTTAATTAGTGGTGCTTTCTGTCTACGCTCTGTTGATCTTCTTCCCGTTCTTTCACCAGAAAGCTTCGTGTGTGCTGATAGTACGGAAAAGTTCTCCGTCATGGCGGATAATCTACATTCCGCCTTGCGCTCTTTGAAGATTGGTGATGATGAACCTATTGACCTCCCACATAGCCCAAGATTTAGGGTCTTTGAGGAGAACTCTAGGAGTTTGATGGGTCGTTTGTTAAACCCTAACTGTCAACCGATAGAGGAGATGATCGAGACTATGCCGCGTATTTGGAGAGTTTACGACCGTGTTCGTGGGATAGCCCTGTCATCAGAAAAGTTTCAGTTTGTGTTTCAGAGAGAGGAAGATCTGGAAAGGGTTTTGGAGGATCGACCTTGGTCCTTCAAGCAGTGGACTATGCTGATAGATCGTTGGGTGCCAAATCCTCCACGAGACTTCCTGACGACAGTGGATGTGTGGGTAAGGATAAGTAAGATTCCTATGAACTACTACAAGATTGAGACGATGGATTTTTTAGCCAATAAATTGGGGAAAGTTCTTGAGATTGCTTTTGATCCAAAAGTATCTCAAAAGGAAATTTTTATTAGGGCTCAAGTGAGAATGGACATTGGCTCAAGTGAGAATGGACATTGCTAATCCATCCTTTGCTAGCAAAACTTTGAATCTCCCTAAAAGAGGTTCGGTGGTGATTGAGTTCGAGTATGAAAAGCTACGAAAGAGGTCTTTTCACTGTCTTAGGTTGACACATGAAAGACCATTATGCCCTCTACTGAATAGGAAATTAATTGCTCAAGCTAAAACTGGGTTGGTGATCGATGAGGAAGTACATAAGTCGAGTCCTGACGCTCAGGAGGTTGAAAGGCTTACATGCTCCACTCCAGCTGTACCACCGGGGTTCTCACCGTTATTTCCGCAACTGCCTCCGGAAATGAGAAATGCTGCTTTGCAGTATATTTCTCATAGTGATGCAACGGAACATTTGGCTCGTATTGCTCGAGTTGAGATGTCCATTATAGAAGGAGCTGATAATTATGTACCGGCTAGGCCGGTAATCTCTCATGACCTGAATAAAGGGAAGGGTCACGTCGTTGGGTTTGTGGATGCACATAAAGGAGAAGTTGAAGTTTCTTCCTCCTTCTCTCCGATTGGGTCAACGGTGTTTAGGATTGGTTCATCTGCTGATGTCCATCCGTCCGGAACTCAGTCTGAAGGAAAGAAAACTAGAAGACGTCCAAGTAAGTGGAAACGTCAAGCTCAAGTCAAAGGTGGAAAGAAGGTGGTCGATCTTCAGACAGCTTTGGTTGTGGCTGATGTTGAGCAGAGTGAAATGATGCAGAGACGTGAAGGGGGGTTAGAAGGACCAGCTAAACGTAAGGCTGTTAGTAATGTTGGGGATCATTCTTCAAAATCTCCGAAAACTTTTTCAGAAACGGTGGCTTCCGATTTGAAGCCGCTGTCATCCCAATGAGCATATTGAGCTGGAACTGTCGCGGGGCGGGAAACACCGAGACAGTTAGTTACTTAAGGGAAATGCGCAAGTTGTATTTCCTGATTTTTTGTTTCTCATGGAGACGAAGCAGAAGTTTAAGTACATGTCCGATTTGAAAAGTAATTTGGGGTATGATGAGTTGGTTACTGTTGAGCCGGTGGGTCTTAGTGGTGGCTTGGCGGTAATGTGGAAGAAGAATTTTGTGGTTTCAGTATTGAGTAAGGACAAGCGTGTGATTGATTTACAAGTGGGAATGGGATCATTGACATTTTTCTTGTCTTGTGTTTATGGTGATCCTGTTACAGAGAGAAGAAAAGAAGTTTGGGATAAGTTGCGACAGCTAAGTGTTTTGAAGTGTCATGCTTGGATACTTACTGGTGATTTCAATGAGCTTATGTGTAATAAAGAAAAGCTAGGTGGAGCTGTTAGAAGTGAGTCATCTTTCTGGGATTTCAGGAACATGGCAACGTCTTGTCAGCTACGTGAATTAAGAAGTTCGGGTAATGTTCTTTCGTGGGCTGGCTGGAGGAACAGGGTGTGGGTTCAGTGTAGGTTGGATCGTTGTTTTGGTAATAATGAGTGGTTTAATCTCTTTCCACGCTCTCAAGTGGAGTACTTGAATATGTGGGCCTCTGATCATAGACCACTCCTCACCCGTTTTTCACTGGAGATTGAAAACCCGTCGAGAGGAAGGTTCTATTTTGACCGTCGTTTGGTCGGCAAGGAAGGCTTGGAAGCGATAATAAGAGATAGTTGGTGTGTAGATGAGTCTGATGTTTCTGGGAACGTACTAGAGCGTATAGCAAGAGTTAGACAAGCTATAGCACGATGGAAAAAGTCGTCTGATACTCACTCTAAGGACCGTATCCATCGTCTTTCTCAGAAGCTAGAAATGGAGATTAAAAAGATAAGACCTGATGCCCAATACATGAGACAGTTGCAGAAGGAGTTAGCGGTGGCTTATGCTGATGAGTAGAGGTTTTGGCGTCAGAGGAGTCGTGAAAGATGGTTGAAAGAAGGTGATCAAAACACAACATTCTTTCATAACTGTGTCAAAGGGAAGAAGATAAAAAACAGAGTACTGATGCTTGTTGATGAAGCTGGTACGGAATATTTTTCAGAGGGAGCTAAAGGGCAGATTGCCACAGACTACTTTCGTGATCTGTTCATGAGTACTAATCCCCATGATCTCGATACTTTGTTTGACGGTTTTCCGGAACGAGTAACTCCAGACATGAACTTGCGTCTTACGGCTCCAGTTACCCCCGAGGAAGTACGACGAGCAGCTTTTAGTGTGAAAGGTTCTAGTGCTCCGGGTGAAGATGGACTCACAGGTATCTTCTACCAGAAGTACTGGCATATCGTAGGTCCGAAGTTAACAGAGGAGGTGCTCAATTTCTTTAGCTCAGCTTGTTTACCAGCTGGATGGAATCACACACAGATTAGTCTACTTCCAAAGGTGGTTAACCCAACATCAATGAAAGATATGAGACCTATTAGCCTATGTTCTGTGCAGTAAAAAGATCATCTCTAAGATACTTACCGAGCGTTTGAAACTGTTGCTGGGTGATATTGTGTCTGAAACACAAGGTGCCTTTGTTGGTGGTAGAATCATCACTGATAATGTCGCCATTGCTCATGAACTGGTTCATGGCCTTAGAACGATTGACTCTTTGGCAGAGGGTTACATGGCAGTGAAAACAGATATGTCGAAGGCTTACGATCGTGTTGAATGGTGTTTTGTTGAGATGTTATTGGAGCGTCTAGGGTTTGATAGAGTGTGGGTGAGATGGATCATGGCTTGTATTTGTACTGTCTCCTACACAGTGTTGTTGAATGGTCGAGCTCATGGATTCATTAAGCTGGAAAGGGGTATTCGTCAAGGAGACCCCCTTTCTCCTTTCATTTTTATCTTGTGTGCAGAAGCTCTAGTGAATGTACTGAATAACTCTGAGTCGAAGGGTAAACTTCACGGAATTCAACTTGGTGCTGGTGGTCCATGTATACATCATTTACTCTTTGCCGATGATAGCTTGATCCTATGCCAAGCTAATGTTGAGAACTGTGATGAAGTCATGCGGTGTCTCAAACTATACGGAGATGCATCTGGTCAGTGCCTTAACCAACAGAAATCGTCAATCATATTTGGTATGCGGGTTTCAGCAAATGCCAAAGATGGAGTCAAACAAACCTTATCGATTGATAGAGAAGGGGGTGAGGGTACCTACCTTGGGTTACCAGAATGCTTTAAGGGGTCGAAGATTGAGCTTCTGAACTTCATCAAAGAAAAATTACAGTCTAGACTCCATGGCTGGTATGCACAAAGCTTATCTCATGGTGGTAAGGAAGTGCTTATTAAAGCGGTTTGTATGGCACTGCCAATATATGCTATGTCCATCTTTCTACTTCCCAAAACTCTCTGTGATAAGATTACTAGTGTTATCTCAGAATTTTGGTGGAGTAGTGGGAACCATAGAAGAAAAATCCCATGGGTGGCATGGAAGAAGTTGTGTAGAAAGAAGGAGGAAGGTGGTATGGGATTTCATGATATAAGAAGGTTTAATCAGGCATTATTGGCGAAACAGGCTTGGAGAGTGTGGTCTAGACCAGATTCTCTAGTGGCTCGCACTACAAGAAAAATGGGTTTTAATAGCATACCAGAATAGCGTTTTTTACGATTATGCTATGTTTTTGATACCCGTGTCTTAAACATAGCGTTTGCCTTTTACGAGACGCTATGTTAGAATGTCGCCTTAAAAAAATTAAAATAAGCGTACGGTTTTGAAGGAGACGCTTATGTATTATAGCAAAGCAACATAAAAACTGTTATCTTTACTTAGCGCGGTAATGCCCGCGACACTTAGAAAATTTTTGGCTCCTAAAATCAATTAAGCTCCAAATAAAAAAATAGAAAACCCCCAAAAATTAGGGTTATCCCATCTCTCTCGTTTGTGTCTCCCCCATTTCCTCCATTCGATCGATAATCTGAAACCAAAACCTCTCATATCTCTGAATCTAGTTCACATCAAATCTCACTCTCAATTATCAAGCCATTTACTTATCTCATCCAGAATCGGCAAAATCACATCTCCTCTGCTAGAAATCCATCTCCAATCAGTCGAA